AAATGTTCTCATTATTTTTAAAAAGTAAAACGTGACAATCTGTTTAAGATGGAGGAATTTTTTTTAAGCATATACGAATACGACTATAGGAGTATGATACTTTACTTCTTCCGTACTAACGGGGAAGCAACCGTACTACGGAGTAATTTGGAAGCAACGAACTATACTTTACTTCTTCCGTACACTGTAAAAAAAAGTTGAGGATTTTCTCTACCGTAAAAAAAATGAGGAACTTTTTTTAGTGCAAAAAAAAACAATTGAGAAACTTAATTTTAAAAAGAAAAATTTACTCCATATAAGATTAAAGGGTAATGCTAGGGTACACCAGCATGGGGTAACCCATATGTACACCAAGCCAACAGACACACACAGATAAAATGTCACAGACATTTTGTGTCTGTGTTGGCTTGGTGTAGATATAGGGTACCCCATATTGGTGTACCTCTAGGTCAATGTTGTACGTTTCTCAGAATAGGATCAAATCTATTTTAAAATTTTATGATACATAATTTCATATGATCTGTCATACATGCTTTCATTAGCAACAATTGATGGATAATGACTGATTATTTCAATGACTATTCAAATTGTTTTTCATAATGTCGTATTCTACTTGAATTATGTAATATATCATTTTTCTCAAAGCCATGTTATTTTAGAAGTTGGAATATTTGCACTAAATAGCACTAAAACTTAAGTCATTTCTCTAAATAGCACTTAAATTGTTTTATTCCCTAAATAGCACTTAATAATGTCCATAATAACCAGTGATGGTGAACATTTACTTGAATAATGATTAATGGATAATGACTAAAAGTGCTACATTAGGAAAAAAAATATATGCAGTGCTATTTAGGGAAAGTCATTATGTTTTAGTGCTATTTATGTAAATTCCTCAGTTAGAGTTTTCCATTGTCAAACGTTAGAGTAGATAGGACTGATCCTATTCAGGGAAAAGTGAAATTATGCGCCTCTGAGAGTGAGGAAGTAAATGGGCTTTTCTACAGATTTTATTCTATATATTTCTCTATTGGAACAATAATCTAAATATGGAGATGTCATGGTATCACTAATAAACTTGGCTTAGTCTGGTTTAAAATTTGTTTATTGTTCAAATTGATATCTTTCAATTTGATTACCTCTGATACTTTGGATAAATTTGCTTGGATTCGTGTTAGGGATACTCTGCGTACTCTTCATAAATTGGAAATCCAAATTTGGCTATTGAAGGGCAGCCCCTCATTTGAAATTTTGGCTCTTCAAATTTGGCTCTTCAAATTTTGACTCCTTATATGAAATTTCCATATATAAACACACCAATTTATAGCCCCTCATTCATTAGCCTTAACATTTTTAAGATTTCAACAAATAGAACATTTACATTTAGTGTTTGATTTACTTTATTACCTTGGTTGTTTTCAATGCCAGATCAAGGATCCATGTATGAAGAGTGATGAATATGCTGTGGATGGTAATGGTGATGCTGCCACGCCAGAGCTAGGAGGCCAAACAACCAGGAGTTCGAAACACTAAGAGGGGTGATGATGTTGTTCCCTCTTCCACAAAGGCAAAGGGTCAAGCTTAAGTCATTGGGGAGAGTAAGACTATGGCTAAAAACCAATCTTTGTGTAATTGGCACTCTTACCTTGAAGATTTTGTCTTTATTCTTTAATTTGAGTAATTTTAGTATATGGAGTTTCATTCTTTGTGTTTTGTTTGTTTTCTACTTTGGATTGAAGCAAGCCAATGTACTCTTAGTTTTGTTTTTAATAAATTTTGTGTACTCTTAATTGCATCTCGCCATCTTCTTATTGTTTTTTGGTTTTATGATGTGAGATTGATTGATTGTATGGGTTCCCAATTCCCTTTGTGTGTAGCGGGATAGTACCCAGTCTGTCCATGTACTTTTTCTTTCGTTTCAATGGAAGTGTTTATTTTTCATGTCCATATAATTATTTGAAACAATGTTTATTTGATTGTTGTACATATATTGTCCGAAAGTATGAAAGTAAAGTTAGAGAGTGTATCCATTTTCATTGTAAAAAAGATTACTGTTACTCTGAACCTTTAAAATAGTTCTAGGCTTAAGAGCTAGACTACTGTTTAAAACGAGTATTCTTAACTTTTAAAATTATTCTGGGCTTAATACGCACAATTCTCTTAAAAATTAGTTTTCTTTACTTATTATAGATAACCGTGAAAAAAATGGTGTGACACACACTACTAATAATACATTACGGTTTCTCAAAACTTTAAAAATAGTTCTAGACTTAATAGTATAACTACTGTTTAAAAAGGGTATTTTTAATTTATTATAGACAACTTGCATTGTAATAGATTACGGTTTCTATGAGTTTTAAAAATAGTTCTACGCTATATAAATATACTACTGTTACAAAGGAGTCTTCTATTCTTATAATAAACAACTATCCAAAACAAAACCATATGAAACATACAACTCACAATAGAATACTATTTCTTATAAGTTTAAAAACAGTTATAAACTGAAAAACCAGACTATTGTTTAGAAATAGTAGTCTTAACTAATTTTTGACAACTGTGGCAACAAAAACTGTATTTTTAGATGAAACGGACTACTAATAAAAGATTACCGTTTCTCACAACTTTAAAAGCATATCTACCCTTAGTTCATAGACTACTATTACAAAAGATTCTTCTATTCCCATTAGAAACAACAGTGGCAAAAAACCATATGAAACAGACAACTAGCGATAGATAACTGTTTCTAATAAGTTTAAAGCCAGTTCTAGACTAAAACACCAGATCACTACTATTTAAATAGAGTATTCTTAACTTGTTATTGACAACTGTTGTAACAAAAGCTATATTTTGAACTGACACAGACAGCTAGTGATAGATTACCGTTTCTCGAAACTTTAAAAACAATTTTAAAGCATAATAGCTAGACTACTGTTCGGTAGCCAAGAAAAACTCACAGTAGTCTGTTTTTTTCAAACTACTGTGTTTCCATAAACAGTAGTTAACCAACAGTCATCTGATACTGTTTTTGGCGTAGTGAAAGCTTTCGCAACGTTTGATTTGTTTACTCTAGTTAACTTATATATGTTTGTTTAAAATTAATATGAATGAATGAAATATTTTAAATTGACTGGCATGTGGATATCATCTAGTAATAACTCAGCTCGCTAACTTATTTATTTGAGTTATGCGGGTTTGGTTGTTAGAGAAAATGTGCATGATATGAATTCGTATTATAATACACCAAAATCAACAATGAATCGTCGTGAACTGTTAGAAGAAGAATATGTAGAAAAATAGAATGAAAACAAAAAAAGAAGAAAAACTAATTAAGCTAAGTAAAAGAAACCCAACTTTTATTCCATTTCAATGAGGAAAAAGAGAAATATTTTTCTTTCTTTCTTTTTTTCTTCTTATGAGAACCAAACACAGCTTGCATGATTAAGCTAGTAGATCAGAGTATTAGCTAGAGTGTATATAAAGGGGGCATATATAATGGCCGGGTGCCATATATAATTAGAAAAATGCTAGGGTACACCAAAGGTGTACCCCATTTGTCCCCCACCCCCTCCTCTACCACATAAATAATGGGCAATAACTTTAAAAAAAATTTAAATAAATAAAAAGTAGATAAAATGGGTGATAGAGAAGGAGGTGGGGGACAAATGGGGTACACCTTTGGTGTACCCCTAGCATTGTTCATATAATTATGTATAAATGTTCCCTGAAGTCCACGACACATCACTCAAAATTCTTAGCCACTAGTACTAAACGTTTATGACTTAGAGCAACTCCAATGGGAGAGGTATATGAAAGGGTAAAGAGAAATATTTGTGATATATACCTTTTTTCATTAAAAATCCATCTCCAATGGGAGAGGTAAATAAGGAGGCATTATACCTTCTTCAATTTTGAAGAGGTATCTTTACCTTCTTCATTTGGGGAGGTATATCAATTTTTCTCACCTTTTAAATTTATTTCATCAATTACTTTAGTTATTGTATTTTTGCTTGAATGTATTATTATAAATTTTTAATTTGTATCTTTGTAATTGTAAAACTTAACGAGTCAAGAATTAACAAAAAAAGGATACTTTGTTTTTTAATTTTGCACTCTGTATTTTTAAGTTTTTTATATTCGGGTATTTATAATTTTACATGTGCAATTAGACATAATATATATTTAATTATTTCAAAACTGACATTCTAATTTTTTTTCCCAATAAAATTAGTTGTATTTTTATAAAATCTTTAAATTTAAAAATTTAACCAAGAAGAAACAAAGGCAACAAACATCAAATTTACCTCCCCATGATTTTTTTAAGAATGTATATTTTCTTTTCTAATAATTAAAATTTGATTTAAGAAGGTAAATCAACTAATTTTTTTCCCAATAATGTATGGAGATGGATTTTTTTCCATCTTTTGCCTTTTGATTTACCTTCCCCCATTGGAGTTACACACTTTTTGGAAAGGTAAACTTGATCATTTGAAGAGGTAAATAAGATATATACCTCTCCAAGATACCTCTTACCATTGGAGTTGCTCTTAGGAAAATTTATCTAAATAGAACTAAAACATAATAACTTTTTCAATATAAGATCATATGTTTTATTTCTCAATGTAGGACTATTGGTCATTATTCATTAATCATTATTTGAGTAAATGTCCACTATCACTAAACATATTATTCCTCTTACGAGATACTCCGTATTATTAAGTCCTACTCCCTCCGTCCTAAAACTTTCTTCTCAGTTTGACTTTTCCCCATTTTTAATTTTTGGTTTTGACTTCAAGTTTTACCCTCCTTAAAAAAGATTTTTTGAATTTTTTTTTGCAATCATTCAAAATATAGAGTTAGAAGATAATTGGTGTAAATACGTACATGAGTGTATTAATGTCATTTGTCATCTTTTTTTCTAATGTGAAGGTAGTTTTAGGACGGAGAAAAAGAGGAAGTGGAAAAAATTTTTTAGGACGGAGAGAGTATTTAGAAAATAAAAAAGTTTAACTACTATATTCATAAATGACTTATTTATAAATTACATAATGGTAGAAAAGTAGTCCACATGCGAAACCGAGTATAAACATCCCAATGCCACCAACTGTGTATATGACTATCACTGTAGTTTTCTTCTTGCTCTTTCCCCCCTTGCTACGACTCTTTAAAGACCGGCGGCGACCCAATGAACCGCCGGCTGATGGGGATATCATCAAATGTGTCTCATCTATAAGATCAAGCTCCGGCGGCCCACCGCGACACTGGTTCCGCGTCAGCGGCGGCCCACACAGCAGAGGGTTTCCTCCGAACGACGAAGGAGGAAACCCTCTAAGTGATACGGGAATGGGCCCACTGAAACGGTTGCCGCTCAGGTTCAGATGCTTGAGGCGCTGGAAGTTGAGGTCCGGCGGTATAACCCCAAACAAGGAGTTGTTACTGAGGTCGAGCGTCTCGAGCGCGTCGAGCCTCCCGATTGTCGTGTTTCCCGAAATAGTACCGCGGAGCCCGAAGTCGGGAAGTCGGAGCTCGACGACCCGACTTCGGTCCGGGCTGCAGGTCACACCGACCCATGAGGTGCAGACTGGGTCGGCGGCCGCCGCCTCCGTGGAGGTCCATCCCAGACGTCCACGGGGAGCATTGTGAAGAGTATTAGCAAAATCTAAAAGGGCTTTTTTGTCTGTTCTAATATCGCATGCGGCGAATGCTATTGTTGCTTGGAGGAGAAGTAATGAAATAAGAGGGAGAAGAAACATGGAGGAGGAGGAGAAACAATAATTGTTCTCTCTCTTTCTTGCATTCATTTTAATTTTCCAAGATCACCTACAATAAAACAATCATAAATTAAACATTAGAACTTCATCATATGTGTGCTCTCTAAAAAAAATACTATCTCCGACGAGCAGAGTGTCGGGTAAAAATTATCTACTTGCATATAAAGACAGGATCTACTATTCTAATCCAAAAGCTTAAGCTGATAGGTAAGATTTCACATTTCTATATATGCTAGTAGTATTCATCTTTATTTTTCGATGTGGGAAATTCAATACAAAAGAAGGTAAGATTTTAAGAATGTGTAATTAAAAATAATTTCGTTCAAATTTATAAATATAAATAAATAAATAAGTTGAAAATTAAATTACTTTACATATTTGCATTGTTATAACAACCACATTCACATACATAGAAAACATAAATGCACAAAGGGATAGAAAAAGTTAACCTGGCCTTAAAATTTCCTCTTTGATGTAATGCCTAATTAAGTATATATACATACGGAGTATATATAGAGACGGGCTGGGAGAGATTAAAGTGCAGTCTTCTTGTTTACATCTTCTTCCCCGTAATATTTTATCTAATAAGTTAATGGCTTCCCATTATTTATTACAAATAAACAAATCAATTAAATAATGTTTTACTCAATTTACAATGGGTAAATAACAATAGCATTCTTTAGTTTCAATGCTTCCGTCATGAGAGAAAACTTGCCTTTTTTAATACTCTATTTTTGAAAATAGTCCCAATAAATAAGATGCTTTTGCAAATAAGTCCTGAATAAACAATAATCTATGTAGAATTTTATAATTGAGATTTTTTTCTGAATAATTTACGGTGAAAAACTAAAATAACAAAATACTCTACCTTAAAAACCATTTAACAAACATTTTTTTGCCGTAGTGAATGTAAAATACTCCCTTCTTCCATAATTTATCTTCCCACTTTTCGTATTTGTCCGTCTGTAAATTATCTTTCCGTTTTTTGTTTTGATCAATGTTTTTTCTTTAAACCACATGACTACTTTCACTTTTACTCATAAAGTACTATTTCTACGTATACTCCCTCAGTCCCATAAAGTGTTACCCATTTTGGCTAAAGTTGAAATTAAGAGAGTGATAATTTTGTGTTGACTTTCCAAAAATACCCTTGATGTGATGGGTAAAAGTAGGATGTGATGTGTAGATTATTAGGAAAAAGGTATGATGTGATAGGTAGGGTTTGAAAAAGTAAGAGGTAAAAGTGGTTTTTTAATAGAAATGGGTAAGAGATTGTGGGACGCAATTTTTTTGAAACGTGTAAATCTTTTTGGGACGGAGGGAGTACTTTATTTCACTTTTTGCAATGGCTCAAGGATAAATATGAAAAGTCAAAACATTTTTTACTTTATCTTAATTCGCGTGTAAAGTCAATGCGATGAAATTTATTTTTGGATGTAAGGAGTATTTTATTATTTTTGTAAATGCGATTATAGGGTAAAAACTTTTACTAGTATTCTTTGCTTCTTTAGCTCGCTCGTCTAGCTCTTTAGAAAAAATACTTTTTTTACGGCAGGGAAATACTTAATACTACGGGCTAAGAGCATCCCCATTAGAAGGAGAAGTAAAGGGAGGATTACACTCCTATTTCTCTTCTCCACATCATCTTTTTGGGTTCCAACACACAACTTCTCCTTTACTTCTCCTCATATTTTACATCAAAAAGACTACTAAAATTTTATTATTTCTTATTTACAAAATTAAACCCAACCCATTTATATAATTAAAAATTGAAAGAGTTGCCACATGGCTTGGAGTGAATGGCCACTCGTTTTCTCTTTCCCTTCTTCTCCGTGGAGGACTCCCCCTCCCTGCATGTCTTGGAAACTGCCAAGGAGATGTACTTCTCCTTCCAATGAGCCAACCTCTCCAGGAGAGGTACTTCTCCTCCACCATTCTCCTCCATCCACTGTGGATGGCCTAAGTAACGAGGAGTATATAATTTCCTTCTTTCGTTTACGGTAAAACAGTTAAAGAACTTAATCAATAAAAATAACATTGTTTAGATCACATATATAGAAGTTAGAACATTCAAATTAATTGATCACATCTTTAAAAAAATAAGGGAGAAAGACCAAAGTATGACCAAAACATTGAAAATATATCAAAATAGGACTTCCATATTTTTATTCCTGAAATAGGACTACATTACCAAACATGGTCATATACATTACCAAAAAAGTATAGTAATTTGCACATGTACACTGCCACATTACCACAATGCAAAGTCACATTACCACAGTGCAAAGTCCTATTCCGGGAAAAAAACATGAAAGTCCTATTTTGGTACTTTTCTCTATGTTTTAGTCCTATTTAGGATGATCTTTAAAAAAATAATTATTGAGCACTCATCATTGTTTTTTGAAACTTAAATGGAAATAGTCCAATAATTTAAAAAAGTGTCACATTGAAACTTGTAGAAAAAATAGATCGATATATAAGCTCTTGATTTAAACTAAATAATCAATTGGATTCAATCTTTTAATGTGATTCAATTCAAGTGTCTTGTTGCCCAATCCAATAATTTATGCCTCATCATAAATTCTATCATGGTATTGGAGCTAGTTTAAGCCCATCTCGTTTGTTAAGATGTTCGTCTAGACGTTAATTCCTAGCGGGCCCCTAGTCTTTAGCCTAGTTGTCTATGGCCTGTTTAACACGATTGCTTGTCAGGAAGTCCATTCCCAGCGGCTCGTGATCCTTTAAGTGTTGGTGCTAGAAAAAATCAAGGGGGTGAGAGTTAATTTGCAAGTGGTGAACTGGTTAGATTTAAAATGGTCCGGTCACCCATTTGAGAGGGAGTGTTAAAAAGTGTCCCCATCAAAACTGGTAGAGAAAATAAATTGATTTACACGCTCTTGAGTTGAACTAAATAAACTATTATATTTAATCTTTTAATGCGATTTAACCCAAGTATCAAATAATGTGCACAACCAAACTGAAATAGAATTGTGTGAAAGAATGTTCATTAAAAAAATCAAATTAGTATTACTCTCTTTGTTTCTTGAACACTATGTTTGGTTCAAATAACTTGAAAGGAAAAGAAAAGAAAATGATTTTCTCTTATTTACCTCACCAAAATGAGAGGAATTTAGTTTTTCTTCCATTTAGTATATTTTGTCTTCTCATTTTCGTTTCCTTGTACTTTTCTTTTTTTTTCGTCTCTAACCAAAAAAGAAAAATTATTTTTCACCTCATTTTCATCTCTTTTCCATTTCAAATTCCTTGAACCAAACATAGTGAAAATACTTCCTCTTTTTTTCTCTTTCTTGAAAACAGTTCCATTTTTAATTAAACTATCACTTTTAGCTCTTTTTTCTTATCATATCCATCACATCATATTTTTTCACTAATAATCTATCTATCACATCAAGAATGAAATTGAAAAATCAAACATAAACATATACGTAGTTTTTTTTATTTTGGATAAAAGTTAAAATAGGAATAGTTTATTGAAACAGAGGGAGTACATTGGATAATTAATAAAATAATATTTTTTTCATCCTTAAAAAATTAGTATTTTATACAAAACGATAAAAAAATATTTTTTGGGAACAAATTCTATTGTCCCATTTATTTGACTTAATCTGCACATCATCTTTAAAATATCACTTTTGAGATTATTATTTTTTTGAAAATAAAATAGAGTTTGGCCATGTGTAAATTAGATAGGCCTAAAATGCATTTTTATTTTTATTTTTTTTTACCTTAAATCAGAGTAACGAGTCCTAACGACTGCAATACTACATCAGACATCACATTCAATATCTTTAACGGACCTTTTGAATAGTGCCATGAATATTTTTTTACAAAAATCATTTTAAAAAAAAAACTCTACATCCATGATCCATCTTAGTATTCTGTAATGGGCCGATAAGGTTAGTGGATTTAGTAGCCCAAAAGTATGTGTTAGTTACTTTGTTTAGAAGAAAGCCCAAATGAACATATGGGAGTTTCTTTTTTCCGAGCTTCTTCTCCCTTTCTTATAGGAAAGCACCGTCAAGTCGCATGAAGGAAATCCCCTCAAGGAAATGAGTTTTTTTTGTTAGTCAGAAATTTATCTAAATTGGACTAAAACATATGAACTTTCCCAATATAAAATCATATGTTTTTATTTTCTAATGTAAGATCTTTGGTCATTATCAATTAATCATTATTCAAGTAAATGTCCATCTTTACTGGACATTATTCCTCTAACTAAAACATTATTAAGTCCTATTTGAGAAATAAAAAAGTTCAAGTCATACATTGGAAAATGACTTATGTTTTAGTATTATTTAGTGCAAATTTCACTTTTTAGTATCCCCACACTCTCAAAATGCTTTACTTATACTTTAGTTATCAAAATCAAATTTCAAAAACCAGCCTTGGCACTACTTGTTACTACGTTGTAACGTATGAAGCTACCGCCTAACCGTTGGACCTCTTGATTTTGAATTTTAATCAACTTTGACCAACCTTAATAACTTCTAAACAGTCATTAAAGTTAATATTTCGATCCTTCCATTCCTAAACACTATAAATACCCCCCCCCCCTTTATTAATACTTTAAAAATACTTTTTTGAATATTTTCTCCTATTTTTGTGTGTTTTGGCTCTTGTTCTTACACTTTCATATTCATTTTAGTTTTGAGCCTTGCTTTTAAATTTTACACCTATCATACACAAGGAGATATTAATTTTGATACATATATCTTCATCTGTATGTTCTTTTATTTTTGAGTTTTGTTATTCTACTTTCTACTAACATCTTGTTGTACTCTTTTGAGTTAGAAATAGTTTCATTCAACTTTCTTATCATTTTGTAAGGGTTAAAGATAACCTTAAATCCTTGTTGTAAAGGTTAAAGACCTTATCTCTATTGCAGCACGACGTAAGAGAAATATTAAAAGAGAAGTCATATAAATGAGCTTTTAAACTTCAAATAAGAAACTAATCTAAGATATTGAACCGTTAAGAAAATCTGAAACAAAAAGTGGAAATTTTAGAAAATTTCGAAACACAAATTTCTCCCAAACAAATGTGGGAAAAATATAAAACGCATGCGAGTAATTTAGAATATAAAAATTTGGAAAAAATTGAAACAAATATTTAATACGGAGTACTCTGAAGAATGAAGAGGAGAGGTAAAACCGAAGAGGCAGAACTGATCTATTCATAGCCAATCAGTGAATTAGAAAAAAATAAAGAAAAATGCTACATGTACGGATGTACCCCATATTTGTACCCCACTTTGTACCCCAAAGCATCACCCTGACATTAAATGTAGGTGCAAAACTGGTATTATTCCAATGATGCACCTAGATTTAATGTCAGGGTAATGCATTGGGGTACAAAGTGAGGTACAAATATGGGGTACATGTAGCATGCTCCAAAAATAAAGCATTGTCATAGAGAAGGATTTTGAAAAATGCTAGGGGTACACCATTTGGTGTACCCCATTTGTCTCCCACCCCCTTCATAACCATTGCTCAAGGATTTTTCTATTAGATATTTGGCTTCACAAAATCTATGCAGTGTACGGGTCGTAGTTAATAAATGGGCCCCCTAAATTTGGGGGCTCTGTGCAAATGAACCTCGTAAACGTGCATATGGGCGGGCCTGCAGATGACAGACAATGTGCTATAACACTTTCTCCGTTACTTGCACAAACGCATAATATAAGAGCATCAACAATGGTGAGGCAAAAATGGAATGCCCTACGGTGACGTAGAATTTTATAACGAATGAAAAACAGTCTAATCATCGCGTGGCAAGTGAGTGAGTGGCAACAAATGAAAAGCAGCCATTACTTTTACCACTTTTAAATTTTTTTGATATATTTTAATTATTAAAAATTATTTTACTTATCAGAAAAAATTAAAAATAAACACCTAACATATGAAATGGGTGCATAAGAATGTTGTGCTCAGCCTCGAATACTATCATGAAATTAAAATATTATTGGGATCATCTTGAATACCAAGTAACCAAGATCGATAAAAAGACCTGCAAGTTGATTCCCAATCTTAGTAACCCTGTCATATATTGAATACCACCCAGATATTTTTGCAGGCGAGCTAATTTTCTTTTTAACATAGTTGCCTCTTTTTTTGGAAGATTATTGAGTCCCAGTTCTATTTTTTAACACTCTTTTTGATACATTAAGAACTGAAAATTGTCGTGGTATTTTTTTATGTTGTTTCAAAATAATTTAAAAAAATACCTAAAAGAATAATTTCAGGAAAAAGAAAATAAAAAGAAAATAAAAAATAAAAAATAAACTTAAGCCTTTGACACGCATATGACATGGTTTGAGGAGTGGAATGCTTTGTCATGCCATGCCCATCATGGCAATTAATGATGTGGCAGCATATGTGGAATATAATCATGGCAAACATTTCTCATGCCATTGTTGATGCTCTAAAGTAAAAGAAGTAAAAAGTGCAAAAGAATTGTATATGCAGTTTGGAGCAAACTCTTCTACTGTAGGGTCCACGCCCGTATAACACTCATTCTACTATGTAGGGTCCACGCCCGTATTACACTCTCAACTTTAATGGATTATATCTATGAACTGACTTAATCTTTTTACACGTGATTTGATGATAAATTCTGTTTATATCTAGCTTACACGGCTTGTTACACCTTTACCAAGATAACTTTAGGGAAGTGTTTGCAATCCTAGTTACGTTCGAGAATTGAAGTAGATCTCCAACAATATAGACTGTATAGTCTGATACTCCAAAAAAACTACTCCCTTCGTCCCCTGTATTTGTCCACTTTCATTTTTACACACCATCCAATGCACTTTTTAAATCCATTTTATCTTGTAATTTGTATATTTAAAAATTATCAAAATTATATATTAATAATCTATATGTTAAAACAAATCAAACAAGATCACACATGACTATATTTAGGCTTACACATTGAGAGAATTTGATGAGTCAAAGTGCTTAGATGAACAGTTCCAAAAGTCAAATGTGGACAAATACAAGGGGAAGGAGGGAGTATGTGCGGCTCCCCTTTTTCTCCCACCTTTGTTGTGTGTTTATCTAAATGTATTTCCATCACCTTAAACTCTAGCCCAAAGTTCCAGTCCAATAGGAGATCAAATAGGTAGAATTAGAATTTTTTCTTCAAGATCTATCCTTTATCATCTTCTATGCATATCAGGGCTTCAACTCAAAAATAGCTATAAATTATTCTAAACAAATGTATTCATTTGTCAAAAAAATAATGTCAACATGACATGGAAATAACAATCTCCTTTGACAATTTTTTTTGACAAAAACAAATCTTAACTATTTTGAATCTCTTCTCCTTTTTTTGCAAAAAAAAAATGTCAAACGTTTTATTAATTAAATGGGGTAAAATGAGAAGAGTAACATTTCAACGAGCTTGAACATTACAACAATGAATATCTAAATAGATAACATAGACCTAGATCATGTCACGTCAACTCATATCACGCTTAAAACGGCTCCCCTCAGACAATGCATCTAAAAAAGTATTTCCAATGAAACTGTGATGTAAGTAAAAAAAAGTTAAAATTAATGTAGCAAAGAGAGAATGGTTGAAACCCTACAATGCTCTTATTACTTAGCAAGTGTAGATACTTCATTCGTCCTTAAATAATAAAATTAGGATGTGGTAAAGATAACTGGATTGAGCAATAAGACACTTGGGTTAAACCACATTAAAAGATTAAATCAAATTGATTACTTAGTTCAACTCAAAAGCTTATATATTGATTACTTTTCTATTCAATTTCTGATATGGGACAGACTCTTACACTCCCCTTCAAGTAGGCGACTGACCCATTTTGAATCTAACTGATTGACCACTGGCAAATAGACTCCCATCCCTTCATTCTTTTAGTGCCAACACCTAAAGGACCACGATGGGTATGGACTTCCAGACGAGTAATTGGGATAAACAAGCCACATGCCGTTGGATATACATTCCTCACGGACAACTGGGCAAAAGACTAGGGCCGCTAGGAATGAATGCTTAGACGGACACCTTACTAAACGAGGTGGGCTAAAATTGCTCGGATACCATGATAGAATTAGGATAAATGGGGTAAGGATATATAGTTGGATTGAGTAATAAGATATTTCGGTTGAACCACATTAAAAAATTAAATTTAATAAATTATGGAGTACTTTTCCACTCAAGAAGTTATATATTGATTAATTACTTTTCCATTCAATTTTTTATGTGACATAGACTCTAGCACTAAACGAGCTAATGGTCTAATTTGAGATGAACATTATTATTAATGAATACACAAAATGAATAGAAAAAGTTAACTTTGATGGCCTTGAAATGTTAGGAATTATTGGAGAAAAGTGTTCAAGTCATATTTACATTCAACACCTAAAGTTTCAATAGACAATTAAGCTCAACGAACCTTAATTACAAGTATAGAGATGTAATTAAGAGAATAAAGTGGAGTCTTGTTGATTACAATTCATCACCATCATTCAAGCTTCCCATTATTCATTACAAATAGATTAACCCATTAAATACGGATTACTCTACACATACCCCATCCCTCACATAGTGCCATAATGTTCTTCTTTAACACAATCATATTTGAGCAATACTAGGTTCACAAACATGATATTCACAAACTTAACAAACTTACTATTTATGGATTAAATTTTCATTTTAAAATTATTTTAGACTATTTAATTTTATTTATTGGAGTTCGCAAATAGTAAGTTTGTGAAGTTTATGAACATTTTGTTTGTGAACCAAGCATTTCCCATCATATTTACCCATAATTACACAAAGAGATATAAAGAATAAACCTGACCTTAAATATATATAAGGAATTATTGGAGAAAAGAGTCACGATCAATTCAATTATTCAAATATGTAACACTTATGCATGATTTTATTGATTTGAATACATAAACTCAACGTATCCTTAATTACAATAATGATTTAGACATTTATTAGTCATCGACATTCTCACATATTTATTTTTTGAAACAAATTACTGACGACACCTTTTTAACATATCACGAGCGAGGCAAAGAAATGCCAATAATATCAGAATTACAACTGATATAATAATAAGAACACGTTTAGTTTTCTTGCTAAGTCCCTTCTTTTTCTTGGACTTTAACGACCGGCGACCCAATGGACCGGTTGATGGTGATACGACGTTGGTCTCGATAAGATCAAGATCCAGGCCACCACACTGGTGTGCCAGTGGGGGCCCACACAGCAAAGGGTTTCCTCCGAACGACGTAGGAGGAAACCCTGTGAGTGACTGGGGGATGGGCCCACTGAAACGGTTCCCGCTCAGGTTCAGATGCCTGAGGCGCGGGAAGTTGAGGTTCGGCGGTATAGCCCCGAACAGGGAGTTGTTCCTGAGGTCGAGCCTCTCGAGCGCGTCGAGCCTCCCGATGGTAGTGTTTCCCGAAATGGTGCCGCGGAGCTCGAAGCCGGGAAGTCGTAGCTCGACGACCCGGCTTCGGTCCGAGCTGCAGGTCACGCCGGCCCATGAGGTGCAGATTGGGCCGGCGCCCGCCGCCCCCGTGGAGGTCCATCGCAGACGTCCACGGGGAGCATTGTGAAGGGTATTAGCAAAATCCAAAAGGGCTTGTTTGTCTGTTCCAAGATCACTTGCGCCCAATGCTGTTATTATTGCTTGGAGGAGAAGCAATGAAATGAGAGGAAGAAGAAGAAACATGAAGGATGAGAAACGGTTGTTCTGTATCTTTACTTCCATTCTCATCAAATCACCTACGGTAAAAAAAAAAGACAAATTAAACATTAGGAACTTCATTAATTATATGCATGCTCCTTAAAAAAAATATTACCTCCATGCATGGGTGACCCAGAATGTGTGCAAAGTAGTCAATCACACTAGGCCCCTAATATTTTAGAGTCATATGTTTTTAAAAAAATATGGCCTAAAATGTGAATTTTAGACCGGACCAATTTCATTTTTTTCATTTTTCAGGACCGGCTCTGCCTCCATGTAGGGGTGTAAACGAATCGAATCGAAGCGAATACCGATATATTTGAATTTGTATTTGTTTAATTTTTTCGAATACGAATCCGAATCCGAATATGAGACGAATTCAAAATAAGATTTGAATAAGTATTTGATTAATATTCGAATAGTTATCGAATCATAAACAAATATTTGAATAATCATACTATGTAATTTATATGATGGACCAACATTAATTTGCATCTTACCAGGGCCGTCTCCGAGAAATCAGGGACCCTGGACGTCACGGAGAAAATGGGCCATTGTGTCATAATAAAATAAAGTCTATCAATTAAATTTTTTTAACAATAAAAATATTATAGTAATAAGAATAATAAAATGTCAAATTCATGGTCTTATAAATTTATACTCCGTAATTCATAGTCTTAACCTGTTTTTTTTATAAATATATATAATATATATATAGAATATATACAAAAGAAGAAAAAAAGTGGGGCCCCCTCCAAAATTGGGCCCTATCCAGGTGGCCACCTTGCCCCTGGCTTGAGCCGGCCCTGCATCTTACACAAATTATATTTTATAAAATATAGCTATTAAAAATCATATGCTTTAGATTTTTGTGTTACGTTAATTTATTGAATTCTTAGTATTTTAAATACACTTTATACTATATTACTTTGCTTGACTTTTGATGTTGAAAACATGGTCTGACATATATATGTATATAAGCTTATAAGCTTATAGTAGGCTTAGCTTATATAGGGATAAACATAAACATAAACTAATTATAAGCTTAGTTTTTATTATAAACTTAAACTATTTGTATTTGAATAACGCGAATTCGAATCATCATATTCGAATACGAATCGCGAATCGAATTTAAAATATTTGATTTGTTTACATCCCTATCTCGATGTCTCCATCCCATAAAATGGTAAGATTAAAAAATCATTTAATTTTTGTGTTAATTTATCGTGGGATACGATCTAATGTGATGAATAGATCAGGTACTAGTGAATATAAATAATTGATAGATAGACTAATAATTACTCCGTAATAGAGATGGAAGAATCGAGAATTATAACAACCAGGTTTACATAGAAATTAAAACCATAATGCTTATTAATGCATAAAGGGATAGAAAAAGTTAACCTGGCCTTAAAATGTACAGTACTTGGTAAGAAATTGTTGGAGACAAGAGTCAATAATTCAAATAAATATGTAACACTAATGATTTTTTTTCTTAATTTCTCTTTGAGAGCTCAATATATAAGTATATATATAGGGATGGGCCGGGAGAGATTAGAGTGGAGTCCTGTTGTTTACATTTTCTTCCCCATCTACGTACGTTTCCCATTACTCATTACTCTCTCCGTCCTAAAATTAATTTCCCAGTTTAACTTTTGTAGTCAAACTTTTTAAACTTTGACCGTATATTACGAAAAAAATACATTGAATTTTAATATAAATTTATTAGCAATAGATTCATTTTGAAACATAGTTTTGAAATACATAATTTTTATAAAATATATTTATATAGAAATTGAGATATTGATGGTCAAAGTATCGCATTGGAGACCGTGAAAAGTCAAATGGGAAGTTAATTTTAGGACGGAGGGAGTATTAGGGTATCTAAATAAATAAATCAATAATTCTATAAATAACTTTTATATGCATTTTATATTTTTTATTTTCTATTAAACAATTTAATTATACAGATTACTTCACACTACTTTAGTGTGAAATATTATTCACAGAGTCAATCAAATTGCTTGAATATTACTCCCTCCGTCCCAGAAAACCTTTCTCCTTTCTTTTTTCATCCGTCCCAAAAAACACTTCTCATTTCTATTAAAAAGTCACTATTACCCTTTACTTTTTCATATCCTACCTATCACATCATACCTTTTTACTAATAATCTATCTATCAAATCATACTTTTACCCATCACATCAAAGGACATTTTTGGAAATTCAATACTAAAATACACTCCCCTTAAATCCCTCTCCAAAACCAAAACTCTCATGTTTTCCGGGACGAAGAGAGTATTTAATTTCGTTTTTTGTACAATTATTGAACATAATACTTCGTTTAATTGGGGGACGGAGGGAGTAATAGACATGTCAATGAATAACAATTTTTTTTAAAAAAAATGGGAAATACATAATACTTCGTTTAATTTTATGTATTTTCCATGAGTTTGCATTATTTCTAGCGAGCTTAAATTATTTTCTTAACTGAATTTACATGTTTACATTTTTAAAAAAGTTTAGCTAAAGAGTGGGGGAGGTGTCCAACAATAATATTCACTATATATTCACCGGGTTAAACTTTAATCATTTTATTGACATATTTTCTTGTCTTATTTTAATGTAGTTTTTAAATATATAATTTTTATTTTCTAATTCCACACCATTTTCATATAAAATAATTTGAAAATAATTTCAAGCAAACATCGTAATGCACAACAAGAACTTTATTTATGAACAGAGTAAGTATTGAATAGAGATTATCTAAATAAAAAAATGGGGTAACAATCAAAAATAAAAGAGAGAAAGAGAGAAAGAAATGACGGCATGACGCATGTGATTAGGTTGTGCTACCAATGGAATATCTTAGAGTCCATCTTATAGGAGGGTAAAGTAAATTACTCCCTAACTTTGATTAGTTTAAAAGGAAGTGAATATTATTTGTTCGAGAAATCTTTAAGGGTAATAAATGTGGTGTTAACCATTTGTTTGAATGAGAAAAAGAAAATAAAAGGAAAAAAATGATTAAAAAAATGTGAGAGGAAACATGAAAAGAATATAATTGTTGTTTCGATGATTAGAGAATAATGATGAAATAAAAAGGAAAAAAGAGATATACGAAAAGTTCACACATATTCAAGTCCCAGCAGAAGTAGAAACATTGACAATTTGTGTGTTGTTAAATTGAGAATAATATGAACATATACTACATACTTTGTAAAAGAGTCAATATCACTGGATGATCTACTGCTATACCAGTGTGAATGATCTACTTTAACATTTAGTTGATGACCATTTTCTAAAGTATGTGTTCGAGTTGCTCTTAGGACTCTTGTTTTAGTATTTTTCATGTTTTTTCTCATCTAGAGAAATTTCTTAACTTAAATGTTAGACAATAATACTAATAGTACTTCTTGTAGTATTGGTTATGGTAGTGTTTCATTATTAGTCAGTTTCCTAATCCTATTTGTGGTAGATGTTGTATGTTAGTTAGTTTCCATTCTCTATTCCTAGTTGTGTTAGGAGTCTCTCCTATATATACTCTATCATGTACTTCATAATTCAAGGAGCAATATTATTATTCTAATATTTCAACATGGTATCAGAGCCACCGCTCTTGGTGACCTAAAAAAAAAGTTCTTTGCCCCCACCGCCGCCGCCGGTAATTCCGGCGACGGCAGCTCCACCCTATTCACCTCTATTTTCTTTTTCTTCTTTATCCTCAAATCAACTTCTCCATTCAAATGAAAAAAAAAGAAAAAAAACCCTTGTTGAAATAAAAAAAACTATCAAAGGAGGAACTTCTGTCTTGTCATCTCCATGATTCTTCAAAAAAAACCCAACTTCTCACAAACTCTCTCAGATCATCCTGTCTTCTCAAAAAAAAAGGAAAAAAAATGATTGTTGTTTCTCTCCAATTCACCATATCAGAATCTCAGACCCAATTTTTTTTTTCCATCACCAATTCTTAACCTATTTTTTCTCTCTAGAATCACTCATTCTAATCATCAACCTCCCTTCTCTTTCTCTCCTATTGAACCAATAAAAATCCAAAGTAAATCAGCACAAAAGCAAAGCCAAGAGGGGAAGTAGTGAAAGAGGAAATAAGACCTCTACAACTCACCCATTCAAGAAGGAAATAGGGCATTGCCCGGATCCAAGAAAAAGACAAAAATGTCAAGAATCTTCAGTCAAACAGGCACTTCCAGTAGCCTTCTCTATTATTCTTCGACGTCAGCAGGTACAAGCGCACGTCAACCTTCTCTCTTCTTCATCGACGTCAGCAGCTACTAGCGCACGTCAATTTCTCTCTTCTCCAACGACGTTAGAAGCTACCAGTGCACGTCAGACTTCTCTCTTCTCCAACGACCTCAGCAGCCACCGGCGCGCGTCAGACTTCTCTCTTCTCCAACAACGTCAGCAGCCACCGGCGCGCGTCACACTTCTCTCTTCTCCAACGACGTGAGCAGCCACCGGCGCATGTCAGATTTCTCTCTTCTCAAAGTTTCTAGTTTCCAGCTAGTGTCCAAGCTTCCTCTTGCTTCAGCCAGAGTTCAGCTTGAGGGGGGATGTTAGACAATAATACTAATAGTACTTCTTGTAGTATTGGTTATGGTAGTGTTTCATTATTAGTCAGTTTCCTAATCCTATTTGTGGTAGATGTTGTATGTTAGTTAGTTTCCATTCTCTATTCCTAGTTGTGTTAGGAGTCTCTCCTATATATACTCTATCATGTACTTCATAATTCNTTCCAGCTAGTGTCCAAGCTTCCTCTTGCTTCAGCCAGAGTTCAGCTTGAGGGGGGATGTTAGACAATAATACTAATAGTACTTCTTGTAGTATTGGTTATGGTAGTGTTTCATTATTAGTCAGTTTCCTAATCCTATTTGTGGTAGATGTTGTATGTTAGTTAGTTTCCATTCTCTATTCCTAGTTGTGTTAGGAGTCTCTCCTATATATACTCTATCATGTACTTCATAATTCAAGGAGCAATATTATTATTCTAATATTTCAACATTAAAGAACAAGAAAAAAATAGAAAATAAAAAACTGTAAATTGTCATTATTATTAATTTATTATTATTAGTAGTATTATTATAAAATTCATAATCATGTTATCTTAATCAATGTCTTTAATATAGAAAACGTATTGTCATTTTTCATACAAAAAAACTATTTTCGCATACTTTAAAATTAGAATATAAAGAGAGCATAAATATATATAAAAATATTAAAATTTAAAAGTCATGGTAGTTATGTTGCATGTATCTCAAATTATTAATACAATATTTATTATAAAATACTTTATATATTATAAGATTTTGTTTTAAATATCAGACATATCACACAATGCGATAAAATCTATTTTTCTTTCATGATTGACATTATATTTACATTATATAACTTTTACTTTGAGAATAAAAATATAGAACTCCTTATTTTTAAATATAGTTCAAAATATGATGTTTTCCTATTTTTTATGTTGATTAAGAAACATAAAAAATATATTATTTATATTAAAAAGTTGAAGAAAAAATTATAATGCGTGTGAATCATAAAAATAGTGACATAGAAACTTGAAACAAATGAAATGATTTATAAATTATAGTTATGAACATAATACTTGTAATAATAATAATGAGATAATACTAGTAATATTACTACTAATTATAATATAATGATGAAGATAATACTAATAATACTACTACTAATTATAATATAATGATGATGATGACGATAATCACATTAAAAATACAACTTTTTTATAGTAATTATTTAGGGAGTAGAAAGAGTATGATGAAAATGATGAGAATAATTAGAAAAAATTGGAAGAAACTAGAAGGAACTGAAAGAAGTTGAAAGTAATTGAAAGTTAAGAGTTTAATTTCTAAAGAAGATGCTCTTAATCAAGAAAAATAATAACGTTGGACATATAGGCCTTTTTACTTAGGAGTGAGGAGGTATCCTAACTTTGAGTTTTGTAATAAAAAGGTACTCTATTTTTAATTTATACTCCATTCGTCTATTAATTTTTTCTCACTTTTATAAATAACTTTTATATACACTTCAAATTTTATATTTTTTATTAAACTATTTAATTATACAGATTACTTCACACTATTTTAGTGTGAAATATTATTCACAAAGTCAATCAAATTGCTTGAATATTATTATTTCGTGTGAATAATATTCAAGTGATTTATTTCTAGATGGAGGCCGGGCAATGCTTTTACGCGACTCGATCATATAATTACAGAATGTTATTGAATACTTCCTCCGTCCCTAAGTATTTGTCCACTGTACTTTTGATTTTTTTCAGTCAAAATTGGTAAACTTTGACCTTAAATTAAATAAAAATGATATTGGATATTGATACAAAAAGAGTTTTCTTAGATTTATTATATCAAATATTTTCAAAATATTATTTTATTTCATTAAAATACAATATATATTTTATTTAATTATTGGTCAAAGGTCGAAAACAATTGACCGAAAAAAGTCAAAACTGGACAAATACTCAGGGACGAAGGTAGTATAATTTTTTAGTACAATCATTGAACAGAGTTTGAGAACATAATAATAGACATGGCAATGAATAACAAATTTAAAAAGAAAACAAAAACATGGAGTAACAAAAAATAAGAGAGAGAGAGAAATGACGCATGTGATTGGGTTGTGCTCCCAATGGAATATCTAATAGGAGGGTAAAGTAAAGTGAAATTTGCACTAAATAGAACTAAAACATAATGACTTTTGTAATGTAGGACTTAAACTTTTTATTCTCTAAATAGGACTTAATAATGACCTAGTGGAAGGAATAATGTCCAGTAATGATGGACATTTAGTTGAATAATGACTACTTGATAATGACCAAAGGTCCTACATTGGGAAATAAAAACATATGATCATATTTTGGGAAAGTCATTATGTTTTAGTCCTATTTAAGTAAATTTCTCTAAAGTAAATTACTCCCTAACTTTGATTACGGATTACTCCGTAGTTTAGAAGGAAATGAATATCATTAGTTCGAGAAATCTTTAAGGGTAATAATAAATGTGGTCTTAACCATTGGTTTGGATGAGAAAAAGAAAATAAAAGAAAAGACAATGATTAAAAAAAGTGAGAGGAAACATGAAAAGAATATAATTGTTGTTTGGATTATTAGAAAATAATGAGGAAATAAAAAGGAAAAAAGAGAGATATGAGAAGTTCACTCATATTCAAGCCCCAGCAGAAGTAGAAACATTGACAATTTTTGCATTGTTAAATTGAGAATAATATGAATATATATACTACATACCTTGTAATAGAGTAAATAGAACTAGATGATCTACTCCTATAACAGTGTGAATCAGCTACTTTAACATTTAGTTGACAATTTGTTAAAGTATGTGTTTGAGTTGCTCTTAGGACTCTTGTTTTGGTATTTTTCATATTTTTTTCTCATCTAGGGGAATTTCTTAACTTAAAGAACAAGAAAAAAATTAGAAAATCTAAAAAAACTGTAAAAATTGTCATTATTATTAATTTATTATTATTAGTATTATTATAAAATTCATAATCATGTTATCTTAATCAATGTCTTTAAGATAGAAAACGTAATGTCATGCATTTTTCATACAAAAAAAACTACTTTTGCATACTTTAAAATTAGAATATAAAGCGAGCATAAATATTAAAATATTAGAATTTTAAAAGTTATGGGAGTTATGTTGCATGTATCTCAATTTATTAATACAGTATTTATTATAAAATAATATATTTGTAGTTATACTTTATATATTACAAGATTTTGTTTTAAATATTAGATATATCACATAATGCAATAAAATCTATTTTTTTCTTTCATGATTGACATTATATAACTTTTATTTTGATAATAAAAATATAGAACTCCTAAATTTTAAATATAGTTCAAAATATGATATTTTCCTATTTTATTATGTTGATTAATAAACAAAAAAATTGTCTTATTATATTAAAAAGTTGAAGAAAAAATTATAATGCGTGTGAATCATATAAATAGTGACATAGAATCTGGAAACAAATGAAATAATTTATAAATTATAGTTATGAACATAATACTTGTAATAATAATAATGAAGATAATACTAATAATATTACTAATAATTATAATATAATGATGAAGATAATACTAATAATACTACTACTAATTATAATATAATGATGAAGATAATACTAATAATACTACTACTAATTATATAATGATGATGATGATGATGATCACATTAAAAATACAACTTTTTTAGAGTAATTATTTAGGGAGTAGAAAGAGTATGATGTAAATGAGAATAATTAGAAAAAATTGGAAAAAACTTGAAAGAAGTGGAAGAAGTTGGAAGAAATTAAAAGTTAAAAGTTTAATTTCTAAAGAACATATTCTTAATCAAGAAAAATACGGAGTAATAACGTTGCACATATTTAGGTCTTTTTACTTAGAGTTAGGAGGTATCTTAACTTTGAGTCTTGTAATAAAAAGGTACTATATTTTTAATTTATAGTCCATTCGTCTATTAATTTTTTCTTACTTTCCTTTTTTCTATTTTTAATTTATACAGTAATCATTCGTCTATTAATTTTTTTCTCACTTTCCTTCTTGGATTGTCTAAAAATTTCTTTCCCGTTTCTTATTTTGGCAACATAAGTTTAATAAATGTTCCATTATACTTCCACTTTTTATCCACACTATTCACTTTATTCAATCACAGCAAAGGCAAATCATGAAAAGTTATTACACTTTCTAATTTTTCTTAATCTTCATGCAAGATCAAAACGAGAAAGAAATTTTGGACAAAGGGGGTAATAAATAGGTATTTCATCCTTAAAAATATAATTAAAAGGTACCACATCTTTAGACAAGGGATACCCTTTTATTACGTTTTTTAAAGTTAGGATATCTTTTTCTTATATATTAAAGATGAGGTAATTTTTTGTTACAATATTCAAAATTGGGGTACTTTCAAAGTAAAAGTGTCCACATATATAGAACATTGAATTTAATTGGTCACTTCTTAGAAAAACAATTATTGAGCACTCATAATTGTTTTTTGAAACTTAAATCGAAATAGTTCATAATGTGCACAACCAACTGAAATAAAAGTGTGTGAAAGAATGTTCATTAAAAAAATCAAATAAATGCTTCCCCGTCCTAAAAAAATAGTATGTTACACGAAACTCCGTCATAAAAAATTAGTATTTTACACAAAATGAAATAAAAATTTAAGTTCTTTCTCAATCCAATTTTTTAAGGATTACTAAAGAAATGAATTAAAAAAATACTATTTGTATATTTAATATCTACATCAAAAGTTTTATAAGCAAAGATGAAAAAATTATTTTATTTTATTAAGTATTTAATGAAAATGCACATAAACAAAATTTCACGTGATATTTGAAAAGTTCAGCGTGCCAATATATTTTTGAATGAAGTATAAACAAAATTTCTCGTGGACAAAAATACGGTTTAAATAGTGCGATAGGGTTAGTGGTAGGGGTGGGTTCGGTTTTGACGGTTTGATTTTTACCCAAAACTAAACACAAAACGAAAAGTTGGCGGTTCAATTCGGTTCGGTTTTGCATAAAAAAATGTAAACTGTTAGTTATTCTGTTTGATTTTATGCGGTTTCTATTTCGGATTTTTCATTTTATACAACAACAACAACCCAGTTGGATTTTTCATTTTATAAAAGTAAAAATTTATAAGCATTAAAAGATTATATATAAAAATACTAACTAGATAAAGCAATATGTAGGATTGGGGTCGGTGTTTTAGTTTGATTTTTACACAAAGCCAAAATAGAACGCAAGGTTAGTGTTATATTCAATTAATTTTACATAAAAAATATGTGTTGAGTGCCCAACAATCATATATGAGATTCCAAATACTCCCAAAAACATCGTATGTAAATATCAATTACTAGAAATTTGCATTTTTTAGTATGATAATTTCATTTCCATTATAAAATCAATGTTTTTTTTATGTAAATATGTAAATTATTCGTTTCAATTTTTAATGTTAATATAATTCTGTATTAGGATTAGTTATTGGTGTTATATTATTAGGTTTTTAAAGTTTATAATATGCTTTAAAACATTTATTTAATAGTTAAGAAAATAACTTATAATCGATTAGTCAATTATTTACATAAATATTTTTATAATTTTTTTTACATATCACATATACTCATATAAATAAACTAAAGTATCTAAAAGTTTGGTTTATTCGATTCAGTTCGGTTTTCCAAAGTAAAAACCAAAACGAAAACCAAACAATAACGATTCAATTCGATTTTTTTACATTCAATTTCAGTTTTTTTGATTTAATTTTTTTCCCAACTCGTTTCAACTTTGTTTAGTTGAAAGCCCAAATGATCATATAGGGTTTCTTCTCTTCTTTCTTTATTTCAGAGCTTCTCCGTCTCTTCTTTCCGTCGAGCTTCGGCCCTCCTTTCCAGTTTCAACATCTCACTGGCATAGCCATCTTCAGCAGGTTTGTGAGATTTTCTCCGTGTCCTGTCACTTCCGTGTGTTTTGCGGTTCTAGGGTTTCCATCCGCGCTGATGTTCTTTAGTATATCTTTCTCCATGCGTGTTTCTCTACGGGTCTCCTAACTCCAATTCTTGAATTTGTGCTTTGTTAGGGCTTGAATTTTATATTTTTCATTTTTGTGAATTGAATCACGAGTTGATTTCATTTGCACCCTAATTTCTTTTAGATTTTAGTATCTATTTTTCCTTAGAATGTTGATCGATGATTTTTTGATATGTTATTTCTGTTTCAGCTCCTATTTTTGCCAACTAGCTGCGTTGTTTTGTTTCAGCTTTTATTTTTGCCAGCTAAAAAGCACACGGAACAGCACTAGGAACTTATGTCTTTTGATTTAATTTGAGCAGGGTTTCAAATTTTCAATTTTATGCATCATTTCAAATGCAATTACTGTGTTTTGTTTGATCTTTCATAATCTTGAATGTTAGAAAATTGTTAATTCATTACACTTCAGTTGAACTATCTCATCGTAATAGATTCATGACTCTTTTGACGAGATTCCAGAAATATTTTGATTTTTTTTAAATTTTCAGCTAAACATGCATTATACTTGGAGGGCCAAATGAAATATCATGTAATCTTGAAGTTTTAAATTTTTTATAACTTGAACAGTTGAGTTAAACTTACTGTCTTTATGTTTTTTTACTATTGAACTTAGGTTGCTAATGCTGTCATTGTCGTGTAGTCTTGGCTATTGAACTTTCACTTTTTATTTTCTTTTGTAAATTGACCTTTGTGTCTTATGTTTCTTTTTGCAGTCTAATGCACTGGTTTTTGAAATTTGATGATACAACCATATTTGTGGTGTTTAGAATAGAACTCCTTTTGTTTCATTTCAAATTCACTTGTGTTGATTTTTTCCTACGTAATTCTCAAAAAATATACGTTTATCTTTAATACGACATGGTACCTTTTTGTTTAAAGTTTACCAAACCGATTGGTTTTTGGACTAAAACTGAGCCATACAGAACTAACCAAACTACCGAACCCATTTTAATAGTAATGATATGGTACCATTCCAAGTAGTTTACCAAAAATGATCTATACCATGCTCATCCCTAATTTTTCCCATCTTCGTTAGTTTGAGAGAGCGTGCGATGAATGGTCTGGGGTTTCTAAAGACTAAGTTCAGCAGAGTTCTCAATGAACCGGTAGAACTTTAGATCTTATAAATTTACCTTATGTTATTTTGTTTTTAGTTTGAAATTTGAGGATACTTGTTGAACTTATGCTGGTTTGTGTTCTGTTGTTTGTTGGCTTTGCTAAATTTTTGTTCAAAATTGAGATATTTTATTACTCTACATCCGGATTTCCTAAAATCTATGTGAAGGTGTCATCTGTTTAGTTTCAGATCTGTCTTTGTGACTTTGAATCTAAAATGAGTGAGTAGACTCCTTTTAACTTCTTTTGTCTTTGGGTTAAAGCTTGTGATGTGTCCTTGAAACTGTTATCTGAACTTTAAATGGATGAAACAACATAGAGGCTAAAAATTGTGCTTGTTTTCTACTTGGAGTGGACTAGTTGAAGCAAAACTGTTTTCTTAGTACTATTGACTCTATTACAATGTTTTTTCTCTTCATAATGCATAGAGTAAACGTCTTTGTTTGGCTTTGAATCATAGTTGTGAAAAGCGCACCTGAGGCGCGCCTGAAGCACGATGCGCACGAAGCGCCAGGAGTAGTGCATCACCAACCTTGATGCGCGCGCTGTTCGTGAGGCGCGCGCCTTACTGTGCCTCGTCGCAATATGCGCAGTGTATTGATGCGCAAAGAGGCGCGCCTTGTGAACATATGTTTTTTATTGTTATTTTTTTATTAATTAGGTTTAGGGATTAGCACTAATATTTATTACGATTCACCCCTCCCAACTTTTACGATCCCAAGGAGATTAAATGGCATACCTAGTGGGCAAATTAAACAATTGTTTTCTCTTTCTTTTATTTCTTCGATTCAAATACGACTATTCCTCCCCAGTCTCGCAAGTCCTCCAAACCGGCACACTTACTGGGCAAGTGGCAGTAGCAGGTTAAGTCGGCTCTCTTCCTTCTTACGATATTTTTTCTCTCTCTGTTTTTTATATTATTCTGTTTTTTAAACATTTGTTTCTTAACCTTTATTATGCTTTTCAAATATATATATATATATATATATATATATATATATATATATATATAAAATTACTAATGTAGATATACTAGAAATTCTGTTGGTGCCTTAATATGCGCCTCATGTTCGTGATGTGCGCGCATTACTTGCGCATCGCGCATCGAGGCACTAGAGGTCCTTTGTGCATCGGTGCGCATCACGCCTTGAATAACTATGCTTTGAATATAGATGAACTTCCCATCTAAAAATGCGTCGGGGTGGTCCTCCTACCACTCAAGCCAAGGGAGAAGTTTGAAGCAAAACTGTTTTTGTTTTGATCTAACCTAACCAAATTGGTTTATTCACTCTGAGAGTACATCAATTGATAAGGGATGTAAATGCGGGTGTCTAACCGCCGGATGGATTGACTTACTGGCTCCCCCCTAGTTTAGTAGGGGTAGGGTTTTATAAAGTCACTATATAACTGGTTTTTATCTTGCCTTTTAATCTTTCTATTCACCCGTCAAGCATCAGAACAAAAACCTTCTTTTCTCCATGGGTTTATACAACTGCAGTCCTTGCGTTGTGCACTTTTGTTTTATGTCATGCTTAGTAATATTTGATTTTTAATGTTTTTAGGGTTGAATCCGCTGAAATGGCTACAGTACCTGAGCAGTTGTTGTGGGAGATCGTGAAGAAGAACAACTCTTTTGTGGCCAGACAGTCCGGCAGTGGCACTGCCACTGTCGTCTTCAGCAAGGAACCTAACAATCTCTACAATCTTCACTCCTACAAGCACTCTGGTTCGTCGGTAACTGTGACTCTTTCTATTTTTTCTTTTGATTTTCTTCTTCTGTTCAGGAGAATTGAAAACTCATCTTCTCTTTGTTGCCTATACAGCTTAAGACTACACAATTGTACTCTGTCATACTAGGTTTCGACATGAAATCAATTAGAGATTAGTACTTCCTCCGTCCCTAAATAGATTACAAATTGCGGGTTACGAAGAAAAATTTCCTACTTTTTGAAATCATTTTATTTACAAATTGGTATATGAATAAGATATAAAAATTACATATTAAAAAACTACGTCAAAAGTTCTACAAAACAAGAGGTGACAAGAATATTTTATTTTATCAAATACTTAATGAAATCGCATAAACAAACAAAAATTATCGAGAGGAGAGAGAAAAAATTGTAATCTATTTAGGGATGGAGGGAGTATATAATTTTAGCCATTCTAATTGTATGAGAGCTGAATGCTTTAATGATGTTGTTAAAGTGTTATCTTTATTTTCTGTTAGTATTAGTTGGTCATTCCTCTGTCTAATTCACTAATTGTATGACGTTAACCTGCTTTAGTGCTGTTGTCTGATGTATTGGAGCATGTATTCTGTTGGTATTGGTTAATAGGTTTGGCAAACAAGAAAACTGTTACCATTCAAGGGGGGAAAGATCTAACCGTGACTCTCGGTACCACCAAGACCAAGAAGCAGAACAAACCTGCTAGTGTGTTAAACAAGTCTGTCATGAAGAAGGAGTTCCACCGAATGGCCAAGGCTGTTACCAATCAGGTATATGTTTCAGGTCTTAGTTACTAATTTGCGTAGTCCAAGTATTAGAGTGGTGGAAATGGGTTCCTATCCCCTAATACCCATATCAAGATGAATTAATTTAAGGGAAGTGGTACAAAATAAACTTGCAAAAAGAATGATCTGCACGTGTCCGCAATTGGTTTAAAAGTTTGTGAAGCCTTGATTCTTGAAAAACAAAGATCATGCCATGCGTTTGTTTTGTGACACTTTCTCTAAGGCCTTGTTTGGATTGGGTGCAGCATGATTATGGTATTGTAATGTAATCTCTTTTACCTTGTTTGAGAAGCTGGATTTGAATGCCATGATATATGAAGTTTGTTTGATTTGATGTTATTGTATTAAAAAATGTCTAAACTACTATTAACCATACAACATATGGGTTTTCGACCACAACTATGACTCCTGGATTTTTGAAATACAAGTCTAAATATGTAATTTTGCAGTATCCTCCTAATTCGAGCTGCCTTATAGCGGTTTACTCGTACTCAAGAAAACGTGAAATTTCATCTACAATATTACCTTTACTTGCCATCTTTTGGGTGTCATTTCATCCTTAAAGTGTCATCCTGCTTCATTTTGTTGACGCATTATTGCTTGCAGGTTGCCGACAACTATTATAGGCCAGACTTGAAAAAGGTGGCTCTCGCAAGGTTGAGTGTCGTTCACAGAAGCCTTAAGGTTGCCAGATCTGGTCCCAAGAAGAGGAACAGGCAGGCCTGAGGCATTTCAATGTCCTTAGCAATGTGGGATTTTCCTTCCATTTTCTCCTTTCAATTATCATTTTATCTGATGTCTCGTGTCTCAAACATTTACAGTATTTTGTATCTTTACTTGTTGATTGATATGAGCTTTATTTTAAATATCGAGATTTTGAACACAAGAGAGTTTCCTTTCCCTCTTGCTTATTGATAACATTGCCAATTATCATGGGTTTTTTTGGGTCTGGAATTGGAATTAATTTATAAAATTTGTATGAAAATGGACGATCACTATTTTTTACTCTTTTCGTTCCAAATTTACTTTCTTTCTGTATTTTTATTAATCATTTGATAAAATAAAATATCATGTCATTACTACGGAGTAATTTTGTATTTCCTTTGCCTTAATTTAAATCATCTGTTTTGGTTCGCGATGTTTAATTGAAGTTAGTTTAAATTATTTTATATGAAAATGGTGTAGAATTAAAAAATTTAAATTACATATTTAAAAACTATGTTAAAAGATTTACAAAACTTGTGGGATATGATTATATTATTTTATCAAATGACTAATGACATTATGAAAAGAAAGTGGAAGAAATTTGACTCTATGTATTGTAAACATATAATTGAATTTGGGAAGGAAGTATGTATCTGCCGTGAAACAATATATCTGTCATTTACGGGTCATATTGTTGTAGTAGTAATGGGATCTTTGCATGGGTTTGAATGGTTTTTCAAAAAAGGCATCCAAACTTGAACAGTGTGAGGGAGTTGATCTACAAGAGGGGATATGGAAAGGTTCAAAATTGAAGTCGTTGCTGATTTGAGTACAAATCTTTACCATCCCCAAAATTCGATGATTGAAGACGATGGTGAGTGTGTGCCCGAGTCTCCGAGCAACTCGATGTATGATGGGGTGCATAGTAAAAATTTGTAATAATGGTACTTTAAATGATCTTTTAATTGATTTTGATTATATATTGCAAGTTGCAACTTGATAGATATCCGGACCCAATGAACGTAAATGAACGGCCCAATCCACAGGAATGGCTTGGGCCAGTACAGAACAAGGACTGAGAAACATGTTACAAAAGGCTCAGTTCCTGATGATAGGCCCAAACGTATAATGCAGGCGGATAATACAACACCAAGTGGTGGGAAGATTCAGGATTGAGATGTTAACCACCATGATCAACGTACAAGAGATAATGGCTGAAGTTTATGAACACGATGAGTGCCCATTATGTTTTTAATCGTAACGTAGTATAAATAGAGGGGAACCCTCCATTATAAACGAAGCAAAAACTAGTATAAACAAAGTAATAGAAATACTTTGAGATTGATTATTATAATTGTTATTATTTGTTCTTCGTAGCCATAATTGTTGGATTAAATCTTATCACAAGTACAAGCTATTCCTCATACATAGAAGTGTAAAAGACTTTCACCATCTTCGAGAGCATACAAGTCTTTTTGTCTTACTTCACGCAATGTTTTGGTATTCGTGTCAAAACAAAAGTGGACAAAGAGACCTGGACGGAAGGAGTATTCCGTTAGGGAGTATTACGGCCCCAATTTTTTTGTTTAGTCCTAAACCTATCGCTTATATTCCGATTCACACAAAAGACAAAACATTCTAAATATAATATCACATGTGTGCTCACCAAATAGAAATGTTTTACATGAGTTACTTGCACTTGGTCCATAAAAACTCTATCACCAGGGACAAGAGAGTATATCTCATGATTTTTAATGATCATGGCTTAAGTTTCCATAATGTTTTTTAGGAGACGAAACATGATATTTCATTAATTTTTGAGTTAACATGACGATTGAGTGCTTTTATCCATGTGAAATTTGCACTAAATAGGACTAAAACATAATTCATTTTCCAATGTAGGACTTAAACTTTTTTATTTCCCTAAATGGGACTTAATAATGACTAGTGAGAAGAATAATGTTCAAGTGATGCTGGACATTTAGTTGAATAATGACTATCAAATAATGACCAATGGTCCTACATTGGGAAATAAAAACATATGGTCCTATATTGAGGAAGTCATTATATTCTAGTCCTATTTAGGTAAATTACCCATCCATATGTTTGGTTTTAAATGTGCCTTAAAATTACTCATGTTTTGGTAGTTTAAAAAAAATTAAGCGAACAAATTTCATTTTCCCCATTTTTGAACTTTATTTCCACAATTCCACATCATCTTTAAAAGGCACTTTTGAGATTTTAGAAGTTCTTTGAAAATAAAATAGAATTGGGCCACGCCTAAATTAGGCAGGCCCAAAACTCATTCATGGTTGTCTGGTTAAATGAATACGGAGTATGAGGAGGATTGATCGACGAAGGTTTTAGGGTTTCGCGGCCAGGGCTTTCGCCTCCATTTTTGAAGACAAAGCTTTTTACATCTGGTAGATTTACCTTTCGATCATTTCTTCTTAGTTCGAAATCTCAGAATTGTTGTTGAACTTAGGTACGGCTGTGACCAGTTTTTCTAAGTTTTTTTTTATCAAAACTGAGATATTTTATTAATCTGCTCCTGGATTTGCGTGATAATGACGTTTTTTTCCCAGTTTTTGAGCATTATTTGTTTAGGAATTGGATTTAAGCTTGTGATGTGTGTCTTTAACACCATTTTCTGAACTTTAAATTGATTCATCAGAAGACAGGTTTTCGAAATTGTATTTTTTTTAAATTCAGAGTAGACTAGGTGAAGAGAAACTGTTTCTTCATGTTTTTAACCTCATGGAACTGGTGATTTACGCCCTGAGAGTACATCAATTGTTAAGGGGCGTGAATCTGGCTGCCCGATAGGTCTTTATCAATGGGTGTTTGGGTCTGTAGCATGATTCTAGGTGATCCATTTCTAGTTCGTAATGCTTTAGCAGATTGAAGGGCTAGTTGGAGTCATGCATCTTAGATGCATATTATTTGATTTCATTATAAAAATGTATTCTTTTGTGAAGTGCTTTTTTATGTCATCTTTAATTTCTTTATTATAGATTATCTAAGTTCTTCTTTTCCCTATATGAAGCATGTGAGCCAAATATACTGCAAATTGGTCAGATAAACCCCATTTCATGTCTAATTTCTTGTGTGCCATGAAAATATTGTGTTTGTGCAATTTGAAGTTGTTGCTTTGGCTTTGCTCATTTTTTCTTATCTGTAAAGGTAGTTAAAGAACAGTACAAAAATCCTTTTCTAGCTCAGATAGAGGATTTTATACTCTGATTGAAAGAATTATGTGTTCCATTACTTGTTACCATGTTCTTCATTAATTGTTTTGTTTGACCTGAGTGCTCAACCAATTTATTTCTACGGAGTAGCTTTTTATGAAATAAATCTTTATTTTCTAACTTTTAGCATGTATAAATTCTAACGCGGTCTAGGAGCAGATTCTTTAAATTCTGTTTAGTATTGTTCTTAGTACAACCATATGCTTTACTTCATGGCGGTCTTTGTCATGTCCGACTTACATCATATCATTGTGTTTTTTCTTTTCTTGTTTGACAAATGCTGTCATTTTCAGTTAGTTATTTCATTTAGTGGTTTGTATTATCAACTTTGAAGATGAAAGCTTAGGATTTGTTCTCTCCAGAGATGGCTGAAGCACAGAATGGAGCCCCATGTGTCCCTGAGTCAGTATTGAAGAAGCAGAAGAGGGAACAGGAGTGGGCACTAGCAAAGAAACAGGAGATTGATGTTATCAGGAAGAAAAATGCTGCCAAACGGAAGATTATTTTCAAGAGAGCTAAGCAATATGCTGAGGAATATGAAAAACAGGTACGTTCTGTGCTTTTGGAGGCTTGTTTTTCTTATTTTCTCTAGTTCTATCCAGGGATTTTGAGCTACTGCTGTGTCTATCTAAGTTTCGAAGTTATGTTAATGCAGCAAAGGGAGCTTGTTCTGTTCAAGCGTCAGGCTCGACTAAAAGGAGGTTTCTACGTCAGCCCTGAACCCAAATTGTTGTTCATCATTCGCATCCGTGGGTATGCATATACTTCCATTTTTGTTTGCTTTTCAAGAGTGGAAGTATTACTTCAACTGTCTCCCAAAGGAGATCCTTATATAAAAACTAATTTTCATTTCGTTTTTTGGGTATTTTTTTGTTTCTAAAAAGTGTGTCAACCAAATATGTTAAATTTAGTGAGAATGACAATTAAATTTAGAAACATAGCTAAAATTGATGGATAATTTATAAATGTTGTATTATGCTATAAGTTAGATGTTTTACCGACTATCTATTAGGACAGGTAGTCTTTGGCTATTTAAAAAGAATTGACGTTTCTTGCTTCTTGTAATAAATTCCAGTATCAATGCCATGAACCCCAACACCAAAAAGATTCTGCAGCTTCTTCGTTTGAGACAGGTAGTTTTTAATGACTTTTACGGAGTATTTCCATATACATTGCATCTACAAATGCCTTACTGGCCATTTTATCTTTTCCTACAGATATTCAATGGTGTGTTCCTAAAGGTTAACAAAGCTACAACCAACATGTTGCACAGGGTTGAGCCATATGTCACCTTTGGGTATTTATCATTTACCCGTCATACTATTGTAGTAATAATGGGATCTTTGCATGGGTTTGAATGATTTTTCCTTGTTCTAAAAAGGTATCCAAACTTGAAGAGTGTGAGGGAGTTGATCTACAAGAGGGGATATGGAAAGGTTAAGAAGGACAGGATTCCCTTGACTGATAATTCCATCATTGAACAGGTGAAAAATGCTTTCTTCGATTCTATAATTTCTCACGAAGCTTGTCGATTATGAATGCGAGATAGTAATTTGTGTATTATCCACAGGTGCTGGGCAAGTATAACATCATCTGCATTGAAGATTTGGTATATGAGATCATCACTGTGGGACCTCATTTCAAGGAAGCCAACAATTTCTTGTGGCCGTTCCAACTCAAGGCACCGGTGGGTGGCCTCAAGAAGAAGAGAAACCACTATGTGGAAGGAGGAGATGCTGGGAACAGGGAGGATTACATTAATGCTTTGATCCGAAGGATGAACTAGAGAGAGACTCTTCTTTGGTGTCTGCTAAGACTTTGAAATTTTGTTTGGTTTTTCTTTTGTTAATTCGATGCGAAGATTATGTTTGAACTGCCCGAAGTTTATGTTTGTGCATTTTGAAACGTGTGCTGGATTTGTTATAGCATTAATCAAGTATTCAAGTACATTCCTATTGAAGTCTTTAAAATCGTCTTCCTCGTCTCAATTTTACAGTCCCATGGAATTTTTCACTTCTAATCTTCTTTGTTGGTAGGGAGCTTTTAATCTCCAACTATATGGTAGAAGAATAGGGAACTGGGGAAGAGTTGTGATCAGAGAGCAACTTAGGGTCTGTGGAAAAAGTACTTAGTAATGGTGAGTGGAAATTAAGAAAAGTATTGAAAGATGCAAAATGTTCGCTAAAATTTGTTTTTAAATGTGTAAAATGTTGTGTTTGTGCAATTCTCTTGAAATTAATAATGGTAAAATTATTTTAGAATTCGTAGAAAAAAAGTAGTCCCTCCTATAAAATTAATATTTTGTTGATCACTTTTTTGATTTGTAAAAGTTCATAAATTCTTATATGAAGGAATTTATAAATTTTGTCACATACAAATACTTTCTTCGTTTTAAAATTAATTTTTCATTTGACTTTTCATGGTCTCCAATGCAACACTTTGATTATTAATATCTCTATTTATATATTTATTTATGCTACAATTATAAAATATTTCAAAATTAAAATATAAAATATGTAGTAAAAGTTCAGAAAAAATGACCACGTTTATCAAAGTAGAAGTTAATTTTCGGACGGGGGTGCACATTAATAAATAAAAAAGAAGGCACCATACTCCATAAGGAATATACATTACCACAACCAAATGTGACAACAATAATAACAATATTTCTTCTTAGTAAAACAAAAAATGCATAAAGTTTTTTTTCCATAATTGACATTTTATTGATCTATTGTTCATGTAATTTGCAAGCATACAATTTATAGCTTCTTTCTCTTCTGCTTATTAATATATTATATTCAACTTGATCTATTTTGTAATGAGGAGAGTATCTTTTTTAATAACTATAACTCTAGGAATTTTTTTAAAGGATAAATCTAGGAAGTATATTTTTCTTTACTTCGTGTATGTAAAAAAAGAGTTTTTTTTAATATCATAAAATTTCATACATAAACAAATAATTTTAATAAAGAAGCTTAACCTTTCAAAAAAAGAAATAGAGAAGCTTTAAAGATATGAAACCAAAATTGAAGTCTAAGTTTTCAAATAGCCTTTGTCCCACACCGTTTCACTAGGGGAGTATAAGGCTTTTGAGATAGTATAAATAAGGCGGCCTTTCCTACCTTTCTCGGCCTTTTGGCTAAGATCAAGTGTAGTATCTGTTCTTATCAGTTTAATATCTGATATGTGGGCCATCGGCTCACACGAATATTTGTTTTTGTTTATACTATCAAAGTCTATTAAGGAAGGAAGTGAATATGTATTAAATAATTTAATCGTCGTTTTCTCCATTTTGTTCATACTTTGTGATTAAGAACTCCCCAAGTAAAAGAATACCATTGTGGTGATGAAATAAGATCTCTTGCAATGGTGGTACACAGTTTCGGATTGAATATTGTTAAAGATAATGAGTTTAAAAACCAGAAATAATTAATTGGAGTAAATATTAATAAGTTCAATAACATTGAAAAAAAAGTCCATAAAATTTAAAGGAATTAAAAATAATTGATTTGAGTTGAAAAGAAATGTAAAGAGTTTAAATAAATACCAATAAGTATTACGAGTATATTTTTCTGAACCTCAAGAATAATATAATAAGCATATAGCAACCAATACATCCACCAGTTTTAGGAATTAATCTTCCTTACCAGAAGAGCAAAAACACTTAGAAAAACTCAAATAAAAACATGTCATGTAAAAAATTTTTAACTATGCAATTCTATGTAAAATTAAAATAGTTATTGATTATACATAATCTATTAATTATTAAAAATATTTTTAAATTCGAATCAAATATACATAATTAACTAAAAAAACATTTTGAGAAAATACTTCATTAGAAATGATAAATTTGAGAACTTAATATAGATTTAAATAATGAAAAACACTAAATATCCTCCACGTTGTCGATATTTTTTTTACGAAGAACTACTTAAGGATTAAATCTCAATTATAAAGTACCAAGTATGTAATTAAAAACTTATTGAGGACTAATTTAAAAAATAGCTCATTAGAAAGTACTCCCTAATATTTTGGCAAATTAGTTTTAATATTATTTATAATGAAGGTAGTACTATTTTTTAGAACAAAGCACATAATATTAAAGCACCAAAACATTCGGTATACAAATCCTCAAACAACCATTGCCCTACCACGTACAATAAAAACTAGCAAAACATGCCAATACAATAGTAACCAACATCAAGAAACAATTGAAACATATTTATTCCCAATTGCCATCAGAATAGTAGTATTCATGGTTTTCACAATATACTCTTTGGCCCTTTTGCTATAAATTTTGATAGGATAACAAAAAACAACGCGTAGCTATACATGTAGCAATGAGCCAACAATCCTTCATGTTTTTCCCATCCTCGTTTTCTGCCCCAACTCAGCATTGGGAGATGTAAGAAATATCACACTATATCCATCAAGAAATGAACTCGTGTATTGAATTCGCATATAAGCAGGAACAAAACAAATGATCACGTGTTTTTACTGCATCGGCACACAACACAGAAGTAGTGTCAGTTGTGATAAGTCTGCACACTCTATCCTTAATAAGAGTTCTACCTTTTCAGATTAGCCATGCTATAAAACGATTTTTGTGAATGGACCATTTGTTCATTTCTAGATTAGCCCAATCTACTATAATATGTGCGCCTCTTAAGCAGTCATATCGTTCTTTTATATCATAAGCATTTCTCATTTCATGCCCAGAAAGAGTCTTTTGGTCTGAATCATCTTCTTCGAGTAGTAACAATCATCTGATTTTATGGAGTAATCCCATATTGAAGTCCTCAGATATTTACTATGAACCCATCTTGCCCAAAATGTATCCTTATTTATTAGCTATATCCCAAAAAAGCTTCACAACACAAGCATGGTTCTACATTAGTAGGTTCTTCAAGCCAAAATCACATTCTTATTTTGAGAGGCAAACATCTTCTCATTTGATAAGGGGGATTTTCTTATAATCAGGTGTAGAACTCTAAAGAAAGTTCATGTTAAGGGCCATAATCTTCTTCATAACATTTTTAGGTAATAAAAACATCCTATTCATGGAAAAACATAACACCATACAACACTAAATTGATCAATTTTGTCCTTCGAGCATAAGAGAGGTGTTTAGTAGCCCATGAGGATATTTTTATAGTGAGCTCCTTCGAGCATAAGAGAGGTGTTTAATAGCCTATGAGGATATTTTTATAGTGAACTTTTCCACAAATAGAATAGCTTTTTCATAAAAAAATAATTAATGCGATTATTTTAACATTGTATAATATTATTACAGTTACACAAAGAGCACCCTTTACTTATTCATACACACCCAAATAGGTCATAAACTATAATGTTACTTACTTTGTACTCGACAAATTATTTCATTGAATGTTAAGTTTTCTATCCAAAACACATTGAGTCTTACTCTTACATTATGTTTGGTTCAAGGAATTTGAGAGAGAAAAGAAAAGAAAATGAGAAAGAAAATATTTCTGATGGAGCCAAAATTTCACCATTTTTTGGCTTTGGGGTGTGATGGAATAAATCAAAATGGATCTCTAAACTGTCTGCGCTTCTTTAATTAATGAAGTAGCAGTTAGTCAAGCAATGCAACTTTCGACGTTGAGCCGGGGGTCTCTTTGGAAACAGCCTCTCTACTTTCGAGTAGGGGCAAGGTCTGCGTACACACACCCTCCCCAGACCCTACTCTTGTGGGATTTAACTGGGTTGTTGTTGTTTGTTGGTTAGGGAGGAAAAGAAAAGAAAAGTGGAAGGAAAAGAAAAAGATAGGCAAAATGTAATAAGAGGAAGGAAAATCAAATTTCTCACATTTTGGCGAGGAAAATGAGGAAACCATTTTCTTTTTTTTTCCTACCAAATTCCTTGAACCAAACATAGTGTTAGTGTTGAATACATCAATAAATTAAAGAAGCTTAAAGATATGAAACCAAAACTGATGACATGTAAAGGAGGGCAAAGGAGCACGCGAGACCATTAATAAGCTTTTCTCCCACACCGTTTCACTACGAAAATATTACACTTTTGAAATACTATAAATAAGGTGGCCTTTACCCATCAATACTCATACCTTTCTCGGCCTTTTGGCTAAGATCAAGTGTAGTATCTGTTCTTATCAGTTTAATATCTGATATGTGGGCCATTGGCTCACACGATATTAACTTAATTTTTTAAGGGGGAAGGCCCATCAAAGTAGCTTGCTACTTGGGCTTTCACGTGTCGCCTTGGGCTTGCACTACTTCCATGCTCGGCACACCCCATCAAATTAATATCAAATTTGTTGTTCTAGTGTGTACTATCAAAGGGTATTTAGAACGAAATTTATTAAATGGGCATAATAATGAATTCGCCCTCTACTTTAGAAGTAAAAATTAAGGTTTTTAGAAGTGCTTTCAAGCAAAAGCTAAAAATATATGGAGTATATTTTTGCTTCTAGATAATGACTTTTACAGTTTTACTTTTACATGATTCACTACTCCCAAACAACTTCTTCTAAGTACTCCCCAATCAAAAAATCACTTCCTCTAAGTACTCAATCAAAAAATCACTTCGTGGCAATGAAATAAGATCTCTCCCCATGGTGGTACACGGTATACTACTCTAATAAGTTTAAAAATTTTGAAAAAAAGGCTAAATATTGAAAAGAATTAAAAATAAATGAATTGAGTTGAAAGGAAATGTAAGGAGTTTAAATAAATACAAATAGGGATTACGAGTATATATTTATTTGAACCACAATAACAAAAACTCATACAAAAAAACACTTACAAAAACTCAAACAAAAAAAATGTTTGGACACATGATTAATATAATATAACCTGTGATGTTTGAACCATATGTTTTACACATTCGTTAATAGAGGTTACTCTGCCTTGGTATATTTGTTTGTTCCTGGCCGTCCAAATAGTATATGTAATGACAGCTCATGTATCACACCATATTCTCCGTTTTCTCTCAA